CCCCCCCCCCCCCCCCCCCCCATATACATTGAATGAAAGTGGCCTCGTCAAGTTTCCCAAAATAACTCGCGGATTGCTTGGTAGTGCATGAAATGTACATCAGTTTGGGAGAACTGACATCCTTAATATTTAGTTTTCCGACTTAAGTGATTACAGGGTTACAGGAGGCAGCCGATCAATGTAGAATTCTCTTTCTCTCAATAAAAGTTTTTTTTAAAACCACATTAAATTCATTGCTGGACTTGGTTTACTGATAACTCATTTAGAGTTTCTGCATCTATGCTCATGAGTGAAGACTGGCCTGTAATTTACCTTTTTTGTATTGTTCTGTCTAGTTTAGTTTGGAAATCAAGGTTATACTGTTCTCAGAAAGACTGAGATCTACAGAATTTTGTGGAAGGTTGGAATCAATTTTCTTCAGTGCCTGGTAGACCTCACTAGTGAAATCATCTGGGCCAGGCATTGTGTTAGTGGAAGTTTATGTCCACTTTTTTTTCTTCCTTGAGTAATCTTGCCGTAGATCTGTTAGTCTTTTTATAAAGAACCAAATTTCAGATTTTAAAAATCTCCCACATCTTTGTTTTAATGTCATTAACCTGTGTTAATAAAATGTTGAACTTCCTGTTATATATCCTCTGGATTTGGTGAACATGTGATGACCAATTTAAATGTGAACCTTAAGGATGCAGTTGGGTTTTAAAGATCTATTACTTACCGTGCGAACTGTTGTCAATTTCAATGTTTTCAGACATCACTGAGGTGTTTGTGCTGTAGCTCAGCCCGAGAACCATCTGAAGGTCTGAGAGGTTCAGCCGTGCTGTTAGCTCGCCACTGCTGTCCCCGACCTACAACCACAGCATGTGCATGTTAGAGGAAGGGCAGAGAACGGTGAGGACTAGCTGAGAATGTTGTGAACCGACTGAAAATAGTTAATATTGGAATTAGGAGACTATGAATTAAATGGGATTTTTATAGAAGAAAAGGGAAGTTTCTAAAACATGACAATAGGAGAGCTAATTTTATTTGATCAGCTCTTTAGTTCTCTAAATATTAGATTGCTCTTAATCTGTGATCATCCTATATAATAAAAGGCTAATATACAAATTGACCAAATGGTGGAAATGACCAGTCGCTATGACATGCAATGACCACCAGGGGGAAGACGCTCAATGCAGGAGCTGCCCCCTGGTGATCAGTGCGCTCCCACAGGCGCTCAGCCAGAAGCCGGGCTCATGGCTAGTGAGCACAGTGGCAGTGGTGGTGGTGGTGGCGGTGGCGGGAGCCCACTGCCGCAGCAGCACTAAGGATGTCCGACTGACGGACATCCCCCTAGGGCTCCCAGACTGTGAGAGGGCACAGGCCGGGCTGAGGGATTCCCTCCCACAGTGCACGAATGTCATGCAGCAGGCCTCTAGTATTAAATAATAGTGTGGCTCTTCTGTGACACATTAACTTGGCATCATATGAATTAAATTTCCTTAGAATATTTTATTTCCATACTATAGTAGTAGCTAACATTAAGCCAGCACTAGACATTATCTTAGGCATATATATGTGTGCTTATATGTATATATCATTCATATACTTTATAAAAATCCTTACTCAAGGATTGATTTTTAGAGAGTGGGAGGGAGGGAGGAAGCGGTGGAGACAGAGAGAAACAGCAATATGAGACACATTGGTTGTCTCCTGCCCTCGCCCTGACCAACTGGGGCCCAGGGATTGAACCTGCAACCCTTTGGTGCTGGGGTGACATTCTAACCACTGAGACCACTGGCCAGGGCCACTTTATATATATATTATCTCATCCTTATGATGACTTGCAAGCTAGATATTCCCATTTTACAGATGACAGAAGTGAGGCTCAGAAAGGTTTCTAAGCTCAAATAGGCAGGTGGTAGGACTATAGCAGGAGCCAGTCCTTGATTCTAAAAGCTTCTCCTCCACACACACTGCTGGTCCCTGAACTGGGGGCGTGGCGGGCATATTCCGGTCCCTGGAAACCAGCCTCACCCTCCACATCAAGGCCAGTGTGAACACACCTCCGACCAGCATCTCAGATGCTGGGAACAATATCGACTCGGCACTGGCCGCAGAGGAGCGATCCCGGCAGTGCCGGGCTGTCCCTGCCGACCGGGAGTCAGCAGCACAGACCAGCCTTTCGGCTCCTTACCTCTCTTGAAATCTCCAGGTGCTTTTCAGCAAAGTGCATGGCTTGCTCGTGGTTGCCTAGGGCTGTGTACGCATTTCCCAAGCTCCAGCACGCTCTCCCTTCACCGATTCTACGAAATGATCAGAGCAAACTTACCGTTACCTGGAGGGCGGTGAGCGTGGTCATGCTGCCCAGCAGTAACTGAGGTACACACAGTGCTCCGCGTTTACATGGTATTTGATATAAAAAACCTACCGTCTCAATACTAGAGACAAGCCAGAATACCCAGAAAACACTGAAAACCCAGAGTCCAGTATTAAAACACCTTTTTAAATACACACTGTATGACAAACCAATCAAGTCACAGGGGCGGGTCTGTCCCTTGCCCAAGTTCTCTGCAGCCCCAGTGATCACGCAGCCCGCGCCTGGGAACCATGGCGGGGGGCGGGGGGAGTGGAGGATTCACTCCCCCAGGCAGTGTAAGAGAGTTTCTCCTCTGTCCTGAGGTGAAACCTACTTCCCTAACATACACAACACAGACCACAGGCCTGCACATATATGCTGTTTGTTCATTCAGTGAAAAAAAGGAATTAGCCACCAACAATAACAATCAGAAGGTTTCATATAAAACTCAGGACTTCTAGCTTCTCTTAAAAAGGGGGGCACTGGACATAAGGAACCTTCCTTCCTGTTGGCAACAATGAGCAGCATCAGGTAGCAGCCGCCCCATCCCACACTCATCTGTCGAGGGCGGCTGCAGTGGTTGGACTGTGACCTAGTTACTGATCTGGGATGGGGGCTCCCTGGGACCAGGCTAATCCCCTAACACATGCAAACCTTCAAACAAAACTGTACAGAGACTGTTACTGAAACAAGAACTTCCTTAAAAAGAAATTAAAAAGGAAACACAAAAGACACTTTACTGAAACACCTGTCTCACCGCCACCGCGGGAGCAAGGTGCACTCACCTGTCCTTGAGCTCCTGCGCGATGGCCAAGTGCTTCAGGTGGTAGTCGATGGCCCTGTCGTAGTCCTGCAGCAGCGTGTAGGTGTTCCCCAGGCTGTAACAGGACTGCGCCTCCACGGCTCTGTCTTTAAGCTGCCGAGCCAACAGCAATGTCTTCCTGAAGAAGAAATTAATGCTTATGTAACCATCATCATCATTAACACTCACTTTTCCACCTGCCTAAGTGAATCTGTTTTAGAGCCTAAGATCCTACACTTTCCCCAGGACTCCAGACAAAATGAAACACAAAAGCAAACCCAGACTTTTAGGGTAGGTGAGAGTCCTGTTAATTTTCCAGATAAAGGAGTAGTGACACGAGAGCAAGTGCTTTGCATGTGAACACTTGGTAACATGTAAGAAAACCTTCCCTGTTGCAGTGACAATAACTTAAATGAAGAGACAGTCACATACCCTCTCTTTCAATCCTATGTTGCCTTTACATCTGTTCGAAATTTAAAATACTGAGTTAGGCCATTAGTCACAAACTCATGAAAAATATTTAGTGCGTTTAAAGATTAGCCGAATTCTACCCAATGCCTATGGAACCGCCAATGGGAAGCCAGTGTAAGAGAGTGTGGGCCCCACGGCTAGACTTTCTGGGATACACTTT